CAGCATTTTCATTTTTGGAGAAAACAGTCTTTGATAGTCTTTTCTCCACTTAATAGAGAGATTTCGTTCATTCCACCCACATTTTTACTTAATGAACAGAGATAATTACTTGAGGTTGATCATCTGACTTGCTGTTATTTATTTATTTTTACCAACTCAAGTATTCATCTAAACTTCCACTTATTTCTTCCTCTGCTGGATCTTCAAGTACTATTTTTTTAAACTTTTTTTAAAAATATATTTTATTGATTTTTTTACAGAGAGGAAGGGAGAGAGATAGAGAGCTAGAAACGTCGATGAGAGAGAAACATCGACCAGCTGCCTCTTCCACACCCCCCACCGGGGATGTGCCCACAACCAACTTACATGCCCTTGACCGGAATCGAACCTGGGACCCCTCAGTCTGCAGACCGACGCTCTACCACTGAGCCAGACCGGTTTCTGCATTTTTAAAAAATATATATTTTATTGATTATTCACAGAGAGGAAGGGAAAGGAATAGAGAGCCAGAAACATCAATGAGAGAGAAACATCAACCAGCTGCCTCCTGCACACCTCCCACTGGGGATGTGCCCGCAACCAATGTCCTTGACCAGAATCGAACCTGGGACCTTTCAGTCCGCAGGCCGACACTCTATCCACTGAGCTGAACCAGTTTTGGCCTTCAAGTACTATTAAACTGAACATGAGATGGCCAAATGATAAAATTAGTAGCTTGAAATCATATTTGTCAATTAGGAATACTAGTGCCAAGCATTTTATAGGAAATGACCTGAGAGTAAAAGACTTTAGCAGAATTATGATCCATTTCTGCCCCGTCCACCTCAAGTTTTTTATATTTAAGATTTCATAGTGATGATTTACTGACCGGAGTAAATTTGGGAGAGTAGAAGGATCTGAAGGCTATTGATAATTGATAATGTACCAAAGGTCAGCTTTCCTCACTTCATTTATGCAAATTGTACAATATAATTTGTTTGTTCCAAATTACAGTCATAGAGAGGGCCAGAGAGTATTTTTATGGAGTCATTTTATTCTGATCAGGAAAACCTTTTGTTTACCACAAAAGGACAGTTTCATCTTGGTCAGTATTTTATATTAGATACATTCCACCCCTTCCCTTTATTTTATTTTTAAATGTTGTTTAATTGATTTTAGAGAGGAAGAGAGAGAAAGAGAAACATCGTGATGAGAGAGAATCAGTGATTGGTTGCCTCCTACACACCCCACACAGATCAAGTCCAAAACCCCAGCATGTGCCTGACGGGGAATCACACCATGTTCCTCTGGTGCACAGGTCAGCGCTCACCGACTGTGCCACACTCACCAGGGTCACCCCTCACTTTGGCATTTTATTTCATGTGAACATTGTACAAAAATGAGGGGAAGATTTAAAGTGCAGTATATTTCTGTGATGAGTTCAAAAAGCTTTTGTGATATAACAGTGTTGGGATTCTCTGTTCTTAGTGTTCAAGCCATATTTCCTGTTCCGGATCCTGCTGCTTTAGAAGACCCACGGATGGAAAACACAATTGCATATGCCCGGAGAGAGGAAGGGGACGCGTATGAATCTGCAAATAGTCGCGTGAGCACCTGTTCTTTTTCTATAGAAAGTCAGAAATGGTGCTGTGTTTATTCCTCTTTGTAATGTATACTTCAGAGGATACCTTCAGCTATCCTCTTATTCTCACTGTGCATAGTCAAGATAAAGTAATTTTCTTACGGTGTACATCATCAAGACTTTTACATGTTTCCTCTCAGTAATACAGTCCACTCATGTGGCACTTTATCTGGATTCTTCTGTCAACTTAGGAAGTGATTGAGCTGTTTCCAGCTCTGTGCTTTTTCACTAGAATATGGCGAATCAGCTGCTTAGTCGAGTAGTATTGCAGTTTCTGAATCGGTTGAACTTTCCTCTCTAAATTGGCACTTCTTAAAATACGTAGCGTAGTCTTTGCATGTGCTGTCAATTGCCAGAACATTCTTTGTAAACCGACTTGGAGAGGTCATACTTATTTTAGAGATTCATAGTGAAGCTGCTTTTCACATGATCATTCCAGAATGAGCTCATGTTTGGAATGATCCACAAAAGTAGATTAGGTTTTTCCCACTTTTGGTTTCTGCCCACTAAGTGCAGCTAAAAATCTCTTCTTAATTCGTGTTTTCTGTTACTAAATGATAATTCTTTTTCCCTCATCTCTATTTTATTTCCAAAATTTATAAAGGAGGAATACGAACACCTGCTATCTGAGAAGATCAATAGAATCCGGGAAGAAGAAGAAGAAAGACGAATGACAAGGCTACGGATACTAAACAGGCTACCAAATGCTGCAGGTATGGTGCCAGTTTCCATGAATCCAGGGCCTAACATGGGGCAACCATACCAGGAATGACTTCTAGTAAGTGCTTTCTGTTATATTGATATTTGATTTGGAGAAAATTTGGTAATAAATGATTTCTCAGCAAAGTCATTAATTTGCATAAGTTTATGCAGCTATTCCTGTTTTCTTTGCATTTTTTGCCTGTGCAAAGAAAATTTATTCTCTGGTAAAAACAGTAGCTTAGCAGCACATTTAAGATTTCTTTTTTTAAAATTTTTTTTTATAAATGAACATTTAAACTCTGTGTTTTTTTATTTTGTTGTTTTATATTTTATTCATTTTTTTACACAAAGGAAGGGAGAGTTAGAGAAATGGAGAGTTAGAAACATCGATGAGAGAAAAACATCGACCAGCTGCCTCCTGCACACTTTCTACTGGGAATGTGCCCGCAACCAAGGTACATGCCCTTGACCGGAATCGAACCCGGGACCTTTCAGTTCCCAAGCCGACGCTCTATCCGTTGAGCCAAACCAGTCTCGGCACATTTAAGATTTCTGAGCATGGTTCGTAGAGACTGGAGAAGGAGGACTCTTTTTTTAAAAATAAAACAAACAAAAAAAAAAACTTTTATTTATTTTTTAAAATATATTTTATTGATTTTTTACAGAGAGGAAGAGAGAGAGATAGAGAGTTAGAAACATCAATGAGAGAGAATCATCGATCAGCTGTCTTCTGCACACCCCCTACTGGGGACGCGCCTACAACCAAGGTACATGCCCTTGACCGGAATCCAACCCGGGACCATTCAGTCCGCAGGCCGACGCTCTATCCACTGAGCCAAACCGGTCTTGGCTGAAGGAGGACTCTTAGCATCTCATTGCTCCTATTGCAAACTCTAACCTATTGCCTGCGGACCACCTGTCAGCTGTCCCTCCCCTTGCCCTGTGTTCCGGTGGGGACATCTATGAGACGGTGCGGTCTCCGGTCCTCGTGGTGTCACTGCTCTGTGGCCCGGGGTCCATGGGTGCCGCCTCGGTGAGCCCCACCTCTCACCCAGCCCGCTCCGCCCTGGCGCCTCCCCTCCACTGGCTGTGCTGCCCTCCAGCATCCTCCTTGTTCAAAGGCCAGAGGAGCCCTGGCTGGTGTGGCTCAGTGGATAGCGCGTCGGCCTGCGCACTGAAGGGTCCCGGGTTCAATTCCAGTCAAGGGCACACACCAGGACTGTGGGCTTGATCCCCATTTAGGGACGTGCAGGAGGCAGCTGATCAGTGATTCTCCCTCATCATTGATGTTTCTCTCTCCCTCTCCTTTCCTCTCTGAAATCAATAAAGATATGTTTTTAAAAATAGTAAAGGCCAGAGGAAAGGCGGCTGGAGGGAAGCAGCGCCAAGGCCGCTGTGTCTGGGCCCAGAGGCTCCGCTTCCCTCTGGTCCCTGCTTCCTGCCCGGAGCATAGAGTCCCTTTCCCCTCAGGGGGAGGCTCCAGAAAATAGGAACGAAATGGAGTAAGAGGAGAAAAACCTAAGAAGCTAAGACTGAAAACGTGGAGCCACGCGCTGGCGGGGAGGCTGGCGTTATTGGGGGACGGTCAGGCTGCGGGAGGCGGTGCCCTCTCACCCATTTCTCAGAGGAGAACACTGAGGCGCAGGGCGGGGCATGGGGACCGGGAATGACACCACCGGGCTGAGGGGGGAGGTGCCGGGCCTGGCTCACCTGTGTTCTTCCTTCACAGCCCCCGGCCCTGGAGCCCCAGGCCCTGGAGCCCCCGGCCCTGCAGCCAGCGCCTGAGGACCAGCACTACCAGGTGCGAGGCGGGAAGGCAGGCGGGTGGGGGGACCCCGAGGAGCCAGTGCACAGGGGTCAGGAAGCCGCTGGGAGGGGCTGCCCTCACTCAGGGTCCAAGGCTGTGAGTTCCCCAGGAGGAAACCAGCCCAGAGAGGGAAGGGCTGGCCCAGGGGAGCACAGCAGTCAAGCCCATCCCTCCGCCCGGGCCTCAACCCTTCAGACCCCCCCAACCCCGACCCCCACCCCCGTCTGCCCCTGGTCTCTGTCTCTTTCTCTGTCCTTCCGAGTCTGTCTGCTGATCTCTGTGTATGTCTCCCTACCCACTTCTCTCTCTTTCTTTCTCCCTCACCCTTTCCATTTTCCTCTCCCTCTCCCTCTCTCTCTCCTCCCTCTTTTTTTTTTTTTTTTTTAAATACATTTTATTGATTTTTTACAGAGAGGAAGAGAGAGGGATAGAAAGTTAGAAACAACAATGAGAGAGAAACATCGATCAGCTGCCTCCTGCACACCCCTCTCTGGCGATGTGCCCGCAACCAATGTACAGGCCCTTGACCAGAATCAAGCCCAGGACCTTTCAGTTCGCAGATCTATCTACTGAGCCAAACCAGTTTCGGCTCCCTCCCTCCTTTTATCTTTCCCTAACTATCTCCTGGCACCTCTTGTATCTCTGTGTCTTCTCATCCTTCTCTATATCTGTCATTCCTTCACCTCTTTTTCTCCATCTGCCCCTTTTTCTGGCTCTCCTGGTCCCTCCGTGTCTTTAAGCCTCTTTCCGTCTCGGCTGCCATCCTCTGTGTGGGTGTGTCTCCCGCTGTGTCTCCCAGTCTCTAGCTGGTTCTTCTGTCTTCCCCCGACTCTCACCCCAACAACAGTCCGTCTCTCTCTCTTTCCCCAGGACCTGCTGAACCCCGCCCCTGCCCCTTACTGCCAGCTGGTGCCAACCCCCTGGAGAGTCCCCGCCAGGCCTCCCCAGGGACCAGGCAGGACCAGGCCGGTGCCCAGCGGGGACAGGAAACCTGCAGCGCCCCTCCTCTTGCTCACCCTCTGCATGTGCCACCCGCCCATCACCTAGCCCTCCAGCAGCCTGGCCTAAGCCCTGGGCTGGGAAAAGCAGACTCCTCCCCTCCCCCTTCCTTCACTGGCTTATAATTCACTCATTTATTCACTCATTCATTCATTTATTCAGCAATAAACAGTCTGTGTGGCCATGCACAGGTCTAGATCTTGCATCTTTGGCAAGAAACAAAGGGGAGAAAATGCTCTCCTGGAGGGATGCTCTGACAGGGGAGAGAGTGGGGAAACTAAGAAATTAACGTAGCCCTAGCTGGTTTGGCTCAGTGGAGAGAGCATCGGTCTGCAGACTGAAGGGCCCCAGGTTCAATTCCAGTCAAGGGCACATACCTGGGTTTTTGGCTCGATCCCCAGTGGGGGGCGTGCAGGAGGCAGCCGATCAATGATTCTCATCACTGATGTTTCTCTCCCTCTCCATTCCTCTCTGAAATCAGTAAAAATATATTTTAAAAAGAAAGAAAGAAGAAAAAGGCAGAGGGCAGCCTTCAATCTCAGGTCCTTGCATGGACCAGGCACTGTGGCCGGTGCTGCTATACTCCCATTGGCCGAAGCTGGGCTGTTCCTGCAGCCCTGGGGCGGGACATAGACCAGCTTCACGTGATCAGAGGGACTGAGCGTGGGGAGGGGCTCCCCAGCGGAAAGCCAGAGGCTATTGCCCAGGAACTGCAGTGGGTGGTGGGCACGCAAAGCCACCAGATGTGGCCTCCCTCTGCATGGAGTGGGGAAGGGGGGAGGGAAATCGGGGCGGCCCGGGATGGAGGCTGCGGTGGTAGCCGGCCATGGGCGGCGGCCAGTCCGTGAGGGAGGCATTGTGGACCAGATGTGTTATGCCCAGATGTCCTGATCCCCAAAGACCACCAGGGAGCCGAGTCCGATGCAAAAGCAAGGAGCCTTTTTATTTCGAACCAGTCCGAGCTCAGCCCCACATACACCGACGCAGCGGTGGGGGAGAGAGCGGGCTTCTACGGAACAAAGGATTTATGGGGCCTGGGAATAGGTGGTGAGGTCACTGCTTTGGCTGACCCCCATTGGTTGGGTGAGGGCTACGGTCCAGTTAGACAGTGACATAGTTATACCAAATGGAGGACTCAGAAATATTAAGGAAATGGTGAGCAGGTGGATGGAGCAGAATTGCTCAGATAGTCTGCATAAATGGTGACTTTGGGGGAACATTGCTCGTTGGCATAAGGTGGAGGCTGAGGAAACTGAGGAAGGGCTGTGTGGCAGGGGATTATGGGGCAGGGACAGGCCTCGTCCTGGCTCACTCAGAAGCAGGGACCATGGCTCTCTGGGGTCTGGAGGGCTTTCCGGCTCCCCTGGGCCTCTCTCCACCCTCCCCCCATTCCCTACATCGCTGCGCTAACCTTGGTTCCTCCCCTCACCCCAGGATGGTGACCACAGAGAAACCGGAGCTGGGCCCCAGCCACAACACTGGTAAGCCAGGCCCCGTCTTGCTACCTGGGCATTCGTGCCTCCTTCCTCTTCCCCCCAGCAACAACCCCCTTGCCTTCCCCTACTGGGGGCTTCCCAAACATCTGCCTCACCCGCCCTCTCTGGGGCCCCCAGACTCAGCCCCCAGATTCTGAGGGCATCGGCTCCACCCAAACCTGTGTGTCTCCTCTGCCACTCCCTGTCCCCAGGCACCACACCCACCCACCCACCAACAGCCAAACCGAAACCCACCTCCGCTTTTCCCACACCCCACACCCAGCTCCTCGCCTCCCCACCAGCCCTCACTCCTGGCAGCATCCTCCTCTGACCACGTCACTCTACTCAAAGGCCTCCATGGCTCCCCAGTGCCGGAGGATGAAGTCCGGGCTCCCCACCCTGCCTCTCAAGGACTCCCGTACACCAGCCCCCACTGGCTTCCTAGCTTCACCTCTCACCTGTGACATCACCATCCTCAAACAAACAAGCAGAACAGAACAAATATATACACATCCAGACTCAACAGACCTGTTCCAGTTCCTCACACATGGCAGGCTTGGGCTGACCCAGGGGCTCAGGTGGTTGGAGCGTTGTCCTACACACCAAAAGGCTGCAGGTTCGATTCCCAGTCAGGCCACCTACCTAGGTTTTGGGTTTGATCCTTGGTCAGGATGTGTATGGGAGGCAATCAATGGATGTTTCTGTCTCCCTCCCTTCCTCTCTTTAAAATCAATGTAACATGCCCAGTTGTGAGCTCAATCCCCAATGTGGGGCGTGCAGGAGGCAGCCAATCAATGATTCTCTCATCATTGATGTTTCTCTCCTCTCTTCCTCTCTGAAATCAGTAAAATATATTTTTTAAAATAAATAAGTGAAAGTTTGTATCTCCTTTATTTAGTAGATATGATCTCTATTTTATCCTTTCAGGTCGTTGGATTTTTAGAGAAAGTATGTTTATGGGTCTGTGTCACAGCATCTTTATCTGAGTTGTGTATTACTGGGGAGGATGAAACACCTGAGTAAACATTTATCCTGTGCTTCCATGGGGAAACTGTATTCACCATAACAACTGGATATTACAGATGTGTCTCTGTGATGCTGGATGGAATATGCTCAGAGCTAAACATTTTAGGCATCTAGGATTGGAAAGAGCATTTGGATCATTGAATAAGCAGCATTATTCAGATGTGCTTTGTGCTGAAAAACATTCCAAAGGGACATGTTCTTTACTTCATAACATTTCTAGTCTGGCTGGGCGGGTAAGTGATTGAACAGACAAAGCTACAGGATCTCTCTTATGTGTCAGGTTATCAAGATTCTGTAGCAGGGAGGCGAAGAAGGAATCCCCTCTGGGGCCCCAAATTAGAGATTTTCGCTGTAAACAATCACATTCTCGATCTTCTAGTTGCTGTTGAATTCCACTTATTCTGTAAAGATTTTTTAGTGTCCAGCCCAGTGTGGTTCAGTGGTTGACCATTGACCTTTGAACCAGGAGGTCATGGTCAGGATAAAAATTTCTTGTGATAATTTCTTCAACACTTCTATAACTTTTCCTTCTTTTTTGGTGTTTTGTTGTTGTTACTAGTATTTAAAATATTCTTCTCTTTTTTTCTAACCTAGATGCTAGTCCTATGGGAGTAAATGGAGGTATAGGCGTTGAAACATCAAATCTTCTTTCTGACTCGATGTTGCATTTAGCCATAAATTCTCAAAACTGTTTAATTTGGATGTGGACTGTGTTGCGTTCTAAATATGTTGGAATTTCTTAGATTCAAAGATAATTCTTGATGTATAAAGGCAAATACGGTGTTTTGAGACCATACTTTTATGCTTTCTATGATATAACATATTTGAAAATGTAGTAATTATTTGGGGAAATCTACAACTCCCCATATACTTGCTGTAGGAAGTTGCAAGTCTGCAGCTTCTTAAAAAGTGAATTTGCTGTCTATCCCATTGTTAAGAATTAGTCCAGCTGAAACCGATTTGGCTCGGATAGAGCGTCAGCCTGCGGACTGAAAGGTCCCAGGTTCAATTCCCGTCAAGGGCATGTACCTGAGTTGCGGGCACATCCCCAGTAGGGGGTGTGCAAGAGGTAGCTGATCGATGATTCTCTCTCATCGATGTTTCTAACTCTCTATTCCTCTCTCTTCCTCTCTGTAAAAAAATCAATAATATATATATATATATATATATATATATATATATATATATATATATATATTAAATGCCAGCTTAGTCTTACAATTCAAGAGTTAGGTGTCTTCCTCCCCTTCACATAATGAAATGTTGCGGGTTAACACTCCCTCACAGAAATGCAAACACATTTACACTGTCTCCCTACCACACCCCAACTTCTTATTATTTATTTTTTTTTACAATATAAGAGGGTCTTTTTTTTTTCCCCCTCATTTTTTTTATTAAGGTATTATATGTATACATACCTTACTGAAATATGGTAGCAACCATACTTGGGTAAAAACTGCTGTTTGAATTTTAATTCTACTATTCTAACTTTGGCATTCACTTACTTGCTTAAACATAAGGTAGTTACCTCAGCTTCCAGGTGGAGACCTGGAGGCTAAGGCAATTTTCCTGTGCCTAGGACCAGAAGTACAGATTGATTCCCACTGACTCAGTAGCTTCAGGGGTAGAAACTAGATAACCTTTAGAGCACATGTGTCAAACACAAGGCCCGCGGGCCAAATCCGTCCCGCCAGGCCTTGCAATGTGGCCCGCACCGCGCTGTCATCACTGCACTCCGCTGCGTTTCCATCACAATGACAGTTTATGACTGTTCAGTAAACCATTCGGCCCGCGATTTAGGCTGGATTTTAGATTTTGGCCCCTTCTCTGATTGAGTTCGACACCCCTACTTTAGAGATTAACTACTGAACTCAGCCGCCTCTAACTAACGCAACATAGGGCCACATTCCAATTTCCCCTGCAGGCTGTTCCCAGCCTTTAGAATTTAGAATTCAGAACAAAGGAAAATTCCTGTGGTTTGGACCTTTATTTATTTATTTTTTAAAAATGCATGTTTTATTTGTGCATTTTGCAGAGTCGTTCTATTTTATTTTTTATTTTTAAAAAAATATATTTTATTGATTTTTCACAGAGAGGAAGGGAGAGGGATAGAGAGCCAGGAATGTCGATGAGAGAGAAACATCGACCAGCTGCCCCTCCCCGCCCCCATACCCCCCCTGGGGATGTGCCCGCAACCAACGTACATGCCCCTGACCGGAATCGAACCCGGGACCCTTCAGTCCGCAGACCGATGCTCTATCCACTGAGCCAAACCGGTTTTGGCGGTTTGGACCTTTAAAAAGACTACCTACACCTGGAACTGCGCAGTCCTGAGTGTGGCCACCTGCTGTGTGGTGCTCTTGCAGCTGTCCTGGCCAGTTTTTCAATAAATCCTTGCCTGCTTCTTTTAATCAATCATCAGCCTCCAGTGGTCTTATTTTGAACCTAGGGTTCAACCCCACAACACTTACCAATCCCCCCCCCCCAACTCCCATACATGCCCTCCCTCCCCAGAGTTTTGCATCCATTGGTTTTGCTTATATGCATGCATACAAGTCCTTCAGTTGATCTCTTATCTCCCCCATATCTCCCTACCCTCCCCACTGTAATTTGACAGTCTGTTTGTTTCTTTACTGTCTCTGTATCTATCTTTTGGTTCATCAGTTTATAATGTTCCCTATTATCCATAATGAGTGAGATCATGCGGTGTTTCTCTTTCATTGACTGGCTTATTTCACTCAGCATGATGTTCTCCAATTCCACCCAGGTCGCTGCAAATGATAAGAATTCATAAGACCCCCTCATAGCAGGCTTCACACTGCTCCAAGCCTGAATATGCAAATTAACTTCCATCTTTGTTGGGTTAATTTGCATGCTTAATTTGCATGTTTCTCTTTTATTGGGTAAGATATTTGAACATTTTAAAGTTTTAAGATCTTGCCGAAACTGGTTTGGCTCAATGGATAGAGCGTTGGCTTGGGGACTGAGGATCCCGGGTTCAATTCCGGTCAAGGGCATGTACCTTGGTTGCGGGCATATCCCCAGTAAGGGGTGTGCAAGAGGCACCTGATCGATGACTCTCTCTCATCAATGTTTCTAGCTCTCTATCTCTCTCCCTTCCTCTCTATAAAAAAATCAATAAAATATATTAAAGTTTTAAGATCTTTTAAAATATTTCATACCTAAGGAAAATGTAAAGAAAAGTTACAAAATGAAGATTTACTAAAGGGAATTCTGTTAATTGTTTTTATTTAACAGTTTAGACTTTTTAAGATTTTAAAATATGATTGTAAAAGTTGCTTGATTACTTAACTGATGAGGAAGAATAAACTGCAAATTAAAAAAAAAAAAATTCATAAGAGAGTCTTAATTACAGCCCAAGTAGCCATTGCTACTAAGGAGCTATTCAACAAAGCAGTTCTTCAAAGTAGCTTCACAAAAGCACGCCACCCTAAATAAAAACAGCCTCAGTAACAGTGGGAGCTATTGTTCAAGGTGGTCCAACCAGCAGCCTCGCAAGGGCTGGCAGTAACATGTCTTTAGACAAAAGTGGCTTCTTGCCATTTCCTCACCCCAACTTTATGTAATAAAGAGACCTGCCACAGTGTATTAGACCCATTGCAATCGCCACTTAACACGCTACTTAAAGGAGATCTTGCTCCTGTCAACTTAAACTGTTTCTCCTTTGGAAAGCCCTACGATGAGTGGAAATGCCGGGGAATCAAACCATGATCCTCCTCAACCAGACAACCCTGGAATTCGGAAACAGTGGCATGAAGATGTTTCTCAATATCGTCGAGAAGAGCTTGTTCACAAACTGTAAGATGTGTGCATGTCATAGTCATGAAGAGTTACCATGTCAGTGTGCTTCTAATCTGCCAGGCACTTAACCACGGAGGAATGTTATTGATTTTTCTCTCCCTGGCTCTTGTTGCTAATATGCTTCTGCGCGTGTGGCTCTCTTGCTTCTTAGTTTCTGCTTAAGTTTCTCGTCATCTTTGTTAGGAGTATCTCAGCTTTAACTATTCTGCCTAGTGACAATAATAAATATATTAGTTAAAAATTATTCACATTATGCCAAAAACCGGTTTGGCTTAGTGGATAGAGCATCGGTCTGCACTAAAGGGTCCCAGGTTCGATTCCGCTCAAGGGCATGTACCTAGGTTGTGGGCACATCCCTGGTGGTGGGTGTGCAGGAGGCAGCTGGTCGATGTTTCTCTCTCATCGATGTTTCTAGCTTTCTTTTTTTTAAAAAATAAGTTTTTATTGTTCATATTATTACAAATGTTTCTTCCCCCCCACCACCACCATTGCTCTCCTCCACCAGGTTCCCACCCCACCCTCTGCCCTTTCCCCACCCCCCATTGTGCTCATCCATAGGTGCACAGTTTATGTTCAGTCTCTTCCCACATCCCCCTCTTCCCTTTTCCCCAAGAATTTTCAGTTCACTCCCCTTCCATACCTCTGATTCTATTATATTCAACAGTTAATATTGTTCATCAGATTTTTTTCTAATTTCCTTGGTTTTTAGATTCACTTGTTGATAGTTATGTAATTGTTGTTCATAATTTTTATCTTTATTTACTTTCTCTTCTGAAAGAACCCCCTTCAGCAATTCATATAATTCTGGTTTGGTGGTGATGAACTCCTTTAGCTTTTTTTTTATTAGTGAAGCTCTTTATCTGACCTTCGATTCTGAGTGATAGCTTTGCTGGATAGATTATTTTTGGCTGTAGGTTCTTGCTATTCATCACCTTGAATATTTCTTGCCATTCCCGTCTGGCCTGCATGGTTTCTGTTGAGAAGTCAGCTGACAATCGTATAGGTGCTCCTTTATAGGTAACTACCTTCTTTGCTCTTGCTGCTTTTAATATTCTCTCTTTGTCTTTCGCTCTTGGAATTTTAATTATGATTTGTCTTAGTGTGGTCCTCTTTGGATTCCTTTTGTTTAGAGTTCTGTGCGCTTCCTGGACTTGTATGTCTAATTCTTTCACCAGTTGGGGAAGTTTTCTGTCACTATTTCTTTCAGTATGTTTTCGATATCTTGCTCTCTCTCATCTTCTGGGACCCCCATAATTCTGATGTTGGTTCGCTTGAAGTTGTCCCAGAGGTTTCTTACATTATCTTCAATTTTCTGGATTCTCTTGCCTTCTAGCTTCTGTGGAGGAGCGTCTTCTGGCTCTTTATGTTCCAAATCTTTGACTTGATTCTTGCGATTTTCCATTCTGTTTTTAGGACTCTGTATATTTTTTATTTCAGAGAATGTATTCTTTATTTCTTTTTTTTTTTTAAATATATTTTATTGATTTTACACAGAGAGGAATTGAGAGGGACAGAGAGTTAGAAACGTTGACCAGCTGCCTCTTGCACAACCCTCACCGGGGATGTGCCCGCAGCCAAGGTACATGCCCTTGACCGGAATCGAACCCGGGACCTTTCAGTCTGCAGGCCGACGCTCTATCCACTGAGCCAAACCGGTCCCGGCTGTATTCTTTATTTCTTGTTGATTCCTTATCATTTCTTGTTGATCCCTTATCATTTCTTGTTGATTCCTTATTAATTCTAGTTGATCTCTTTTCATATCCTCATAGGTCTTATTGATCTTTTCTAGGAAATTCTTGAAAAACCTTATAAGTGTAGATTTGAACTCTATATTCAGTCGCTTTTTGTCCTCCATTTCTTTCGTTTGTGATCTAGTTCGTTGTCGCATTTCGCAGCTACAGATGGGGCGGGGTTTCAGGGTGGAGCCTACAGCCTTAGCTTCCGTCAGCCCCGCCCTATGCGGCTCCTGAGTCTCAGGGTCCTTCAGTACTCGCTATAAGCACCTCTGAGAGAAAGGTGCCCTCGATTTTCGCCTGCTACCAGTCTATGCTCTCCCCCAATGAGCTCTGTATTGGGGTTCAGTTCAGTTGGAAGTGGGATTGGAGGTGGCGTTCAGAGCAGTCTGGAGCCCCAGTCTCCTTCCCGCCAGGGAATCCCGCGGCACAGCCGACCGTCCCTTCTCTGCACACAATGTACGCGCCTCCGGGACCTCTTCTCGCTGCTCCCCGGGGTTCCGCCTCACAGCCCAGCTCCCTCTGGATGAGCCTGGGTCCCGGGGGGTCTGGCCTAGAACTGGGGTTCAGAGCAGTCGGGGGCCCAGCACAGTTGGAGTTTTATCTCCTTTCCATAGGGAACGCCCGCCAGGCACTCGGCCTCCCTCCTCTCCGGCTCAGTCCTCTCTGCGCACCACGTGTCTCCCTACCTTAGGCTTTTACAGCTCCTCCATGCTTCCTTCTGGTTTTCTCCTTGCTTCTCGTTGTAGAATTTCCAGTCAGTCAACCTTCCTGTAGATCTGGGCAATGTCCATTTTATATTTTAGTTGTATTTTATTGAAATTGCTGTGTGCAGCTGCGGCTAGGTGTTTACCTGGGCGCAGCCATCTTGGATCCCCGATGTTTCTAGCTTTCTATCCCTCTCCCTTCCTCTCTGTAAAAAATCAATAAAATGTGTTTTTAAAAAAATTATTCACATTATTGTTACTGCTTTTACAAAATTTGCAATTTCAAAAGAAAGCCTAGGTCTCCCCTCATTAGAATGTGGCAAGAATTTTTTGTTATCCCTGAGCTTTTGTTATGTTGACAGTTAAATCTGGTAGGATGTGTTTCTGATCCTCCAATAGTATATATGTCAATAACTTGTGGAATAGTTCGCACTATTTGTTGGAAAGTTTATATATTTCAGGTACTCTGCCTCACAAACACTGTCTTATTGAAAGAGTGTTTATCAGGATAAAGAGGGGAAAGGCAGATAGAGAAAATGGAATGCACACAGTATCAAAAAGAGAGAGCCTAGACCTCTCTGACTATAGAACTTACACTTCAACACACAGCATTTTCATTTTTGGAGAAAACAGTCTTTGATAGTCTTTTCTCCACTTAATGGAGATTTCGTTCATTCCACCCACATTTTTACTTAATGAACAGAGATAATTATTTGGGGTTGATCATCTGACTTGATGTTATTTTTTTTTTTTTTTTTTTACCAACTCAAATATTCATCTAAATTTCCACTGATTTCTTCCTCTTCTGGATCTTCAAGTAGTATTAAACTGAACATGAGATAACCCAATGATAGAATTAGTGGCTTGAAATCACATTGGTCAATTTTAGGAATACTAGTGCCAAGCATTTTATAGGAAATGACCAGAGAGTAAAAGACTTTTAACAGAGCCAAGACCGGTTTGGCTCAGTGGATAGAGCGTCGGCCTGCGGACTGAAGGGTCCTGGGTTCGATTCCGGTCAAGGGCATGTACCTTGGTTGCGGGCACATCCCTAGTAGGGGGTATGCAAGAGGCAGCTGATCAGTGTCTCTCTCTCATCGATGTTTCTGGCTCTCTATCCCTCTCTCTTCCTCTCTGTAAAAAATCAATAAAATATATATATTTTTTTAAAAGAAGACTTTTAGCAGAATTATCCATTTCGGCCCCGTCCACCTCAAGTTTTTTATATTTAAGATTTCATAGTGATGATTTACTGACTGGAGTAAATTTGGGAGAGTAGAAGGATCTGAAGGCTATTGCTAATTGATAATGTACCAAAGGTCAGCTTTCCTCACTTCGTTTACGCAAATTGTACAATACAATTTGTTTGTTCCAAATTACAGTCATAGAGAGGGCCAGAGAGTATTTTTATGCAGTCATTTTATTCTGATCAGGAAAACCTTTTGTTTACCACAAAAAGACAATTTCATCTCAGTCAGTATTTTATATTAGAGTACATTCCATCCCTTCCCTTTATTTATTTTATTTTTAAATGTTGTTTTATCGATTTTAGAGAGGAAGAGAGAGAAAGAGAAACATCGTGATGAGAGAGAATCAGTGATTGGTTGCCTCCTACACACCCCACATAAGATCAAGTCCAAAACCCCAGCATGTGCCTGACAGGGAATCACACCATGTTCCTCTGGTGCACAGGTCAGCGCTCACCGACTGTGCCACACTCACCAGGGTCACCCCTCACTTTGGCATTTTATTTAATGTGAACATTGTACAAAAATGAGGGGAAGATTTAAAGTGCAGTATATTTCTATGATGAGTTGGAAAAGCTTTTGTGATATAACAGTGTTAGGATTCTCTGTTCTTAGTGTTCAAGCCATATTTCCTGTTCCGGATCCTGCTGCTTTAGAAGACCCACGGATGGAAAACACAATTGCATATGCCCGGAGAGAGGAAGGGGACGCGTATGAATCTGCAAATAGTCGCGTGAGCACCTGTTCTTTTTCTATAGAAAGTCAGAAATGGCGCTGTGTTTATTCCTGTTTCTAATATGTACTTCAGAGGATACCTTCAGCTATCCTCTTATTCTCACTGTGCATAGTCAAGATAAAGTAATTTTCTTAGGGTGTACATCATCAAGACTTTCACATGTTTCCTCTCAGTAATTCAGTCCACTCATGTGGCACTTTATCTGGGTCCTTCTGTCAACTTAGAAAGTGGTTGAGCTGTTTCCAGCTCTGTGTTTTTCACTAGAATATGGCGAATCAGCTGCTTAGTCGAGTAGTATTGCAGTTTCTGAATCGGTTGAACTTTCCTCTCTAAATTGGCACTTCTTAAAATACGTAGCGTAGTCTTTGCATGTGCTGTCAATTGCCAGAACATTCTTTGTAAACCGACTTGGAGAGGTCATACTTATTTTATAGATTCATAGTGAAGCTGCTTTTCACATGATCATTCCAGAATGAGCTCATGTTTGGAATGATCCAAGAAAGTAGATTAGGTTTTTCCCACTTTTCTTTCGGTTTCTGCCCACTTAAGTGCAGCTAAAATCTCTTCTTAGTTCATTTTTTCTGTTACTAAATGATAGTTCTTTTTTTCTCATCTCTATTTTATTTCCAAAATTTATAAAGGAGGAATACGAACACCTGCTATCTGAGAAGATCAGTAGAATCCGGGAAGAAGAAGAAGAAAGACGAATGACAAGGCTACGGATACTAAACATGCCACCAAATGCTGCAGGTATGGTGCCAATTTCCATGAATCCAGGGCCTAACATGGGCAACTAAAGCAGAAATGACTTCTAAAAAGTGCTTTCTGTTATATTTGATTTGGAGAAAATTTGCTAATGAATGATTTCTCACCAAAGTCATTAATTTGCATAAGTTTATGCAGCTATTCCTGTTTTCTTTGCATTTTTTGCCTGTGCAAAGAAAATTTATTCTCTGGTAAAAACAGTAGCTGAGCAGCACATTTAAGATTTATTTTTTTTTTGCGGAGACCGGTTTGGCTCAATGGATAGAGCGTCGGCTTGGGGACTGAGGGACCCGGGTTCGATTCCAGTCAAGGGTATGTACCTTGGCTGCGGGCATATCCCCAGTAGGGGGTGTGCAAGAGGGAGCTGATCGATGACTCTCTCTCATCGATGTTTCTAGCTCTCTATCTCTCTCCCTTCCTCTGTACAAAATCAACAAAATATATTTTTTTTAAAAAAGATTTATTTTTTTATTTTTTTTATAAATGAACATTTAAACTGTGTTTTTTTATTGTTGTTGTTTTATATTTTATTGATTTTTTTACACAAAGGAAGGGAGAGTTAGAGAAATAGAGAGTTAGAAACATCGATGAGAGAAAAACATCGACCAGCTGCCTCCTGCACACTTCCTACTGGGGATGTGCCCGCAACCAAGGTACATGCCCTTGACCGGAATTGAACCCGGGACCTTTCAGTTCCCAAGCCGACGCTCTATCCATTGGGCCAAACCGGTCTCGGCACATTTAAGATTTCTGAGCATGGTTCGTAGAGACTGGAGGAGGACTCTTTTTAAAAAAAAAACAAAACAAAACAAAAATACTTTTATTTATTTATTTTTAAATATATTTTTTTGGGTTTTTACAGAGAGGAAGAGAGAGGGATAGGGAGTTGGAAACATCAATGAGAAAAAATCATCGATCAGCTGCCTCCTGCACAGCCCCAACTGGGGATGCGCCTGCAACCAAGGCACATGCCCTTGACCGGAATCCAACCTGGGACCCTTCAGTCCACAGGCCGACGCTCTATCCACTGAGCCAAACCGGTCTCGGCTGAAGGAGGACTCTTAGCATCTCATTGCTCCAATGCAAACTCTAACCTATTGCCTGCGGACCACCTGTCAGCTGTCCCTCCCCTTGCCCTCTGTTCCAGTGGGGACATCTATGAGGCCATTCGGTCTCCGGTCCTCGTGGTGTCACCGCTCTGTGGCCCGGGGTCCATGGGTGCCGCCTCGGTGAGCCCCACCTCTCACCCAGCCCGCTCCGCCCTCGCCCCTCTCCTCCACCGGCTGTGCTGCCCTCCAGCATCCTCCTTGTTTAAAGCCCAGAGGAGCTCTGGCTGGTGTGGCTCAGTGGATAGAGCGTCGGCCTGCGCACTGAAGGGTCCCGGGTTCGATTCCAGTCAAGGGCACACACCAGGACTGTGGGCTTGATCCCCATTTAGGGACGTGCAGGAGGCAGCTGATCAATGATTCTCCCTCATCGTTGATATTTCTCTCTCTCCCTCTCCTTTCCTCTCTGAAATCAATAAAGATATGTTTTTAAAAATAGTAAAGGCCAGAGGAAAGGCAGCTGGAGGGAAGCAGCGCCAAGGCCGCTGTGTCTGGGCCCGGAGGCCGAGGCTCTGCTTCCCTCTGGTCCCTGCTTCCTGCCCGGAGCATAGAGTCCCTTTCCCCGCAGGGGGAGGCTCCAGAAAATAGGAACGAAATGAAGTAAGAGGAGAAAAACCTAAGAAGCTAAGACTGAAAACGTGGAGCCACATGCTGGCGGGGAGGCTGGGCGTTATTGGGGGATAGTCAGGCTGCGGGAGGCGGTGCCCTCTCACCCATTTCTCAGAGGAGAACACTGAGGCTCAGGGCGTGGCATGGGGACCTGGAATGACACCACCGGGCTGAGGGGTGGAGGAGGAGGGAGGGGGAGGGGGAAGGTGCCGGGCCTGGCTCACCTGTGTTCTTCCTTCACAGCCCCCGGCCCTGGAGCCCCCGGCCCTGGAGCCCCCGGCCCTACAGCAAGTGCCTGAGGACCAGCACTACCAGGTGCGAGGCGGGGAGGCAGGCGGGTGGGGGGACCCCGAGGAGCCAGTGCACAGGGGTCAGGAAGCCGCTGGGAGGGGCTGCCCTCACTCAGGGTCCAAGGCTGTGAGTTCCCCAGGAGGAAACCAGCCCAGAGAGGGAAGGGCTGGCCCAGGGGAGCACAGCAGTCAAGCCCATCCCTCCGCCCGGGCCTCAACCCTTCAGACCCCCCCAACCCCGACCCCCACCCCCGTCTGCCCCTGGTCTCTGTCTCTTTCTCTGTCCTTCCGAGTCTGTCTGCTGATCTCTCTGTATGTCTCCCTACCCACTTCTCTCTCTTTCTTTCTCCCTCACCCTTTCCATTTTCCTCTCCCTCTTCTCCCTCTCTCTCTCCTCCCTTCTTTTTTTTTTTTTTTAAATACATTTTATTGATTTTTTACAGAGAGGAAGAGAGAGGGATAGAAAGTTAGAAACAACAATGAGAGAGAAACATCGATCAGCTGCCTCCTGCACACCCCCCACTGGGGATGTGCCCGCAACCAATGTACAGGCCCTTGACCAGAATCAAACCCAGGACCTTTCAGTTCGCAGATCGATGCTCTATCTACTGAGCCAAACCAGTTTCGGCTCCCTCCCTCCTTTTATCTTTCCCTAACTATCTCCTGGCACCTCTTGTATCTCTGTGTCTTCTCATCCTTCTCTATATCTGTCTGTCATTCCTTCATCTCTATTGCTCCGTCTGCCCCTTTTTCTGGCTCTCCTGGTCCCTCCGTGTCTTTAAGCCTCTTTCCGTCTCGGCTGCCATCCTCTATATGGGTGTGTCTCCCGCTGTGTCTCCCAGTCTCTAGCTGGTTCTTCTGTCTTCCCCCGACTCTCACCCCAACAACAATCCCCCTCTCTCTCTTTCCCCAGGACCTGCTGAACCCCGCCCCTGCCCCTTGCTGCCAGCTGGTGCCAACCCCCTGGAGGGTCCCAGCCAGGCCTCCCCAGGGACCGGGCAGGGCCAGGCCGGTGCCCAGCGGGGACAGGAGACCTGCAGCGCCCCTCCTCTCGCCCACCCTCTGCGTGTGCCACCCGCCCATCACCTGGCCCTCCAGCAGCCTGGCCTAAGCCCTGAGCTGGGAAAAGCAGACTCCTCCCCTCCCCCTTCCTTCACTGGCTTATAATTCACTCATTTATTCATTCATTTACTCAGCAATAAACAGTCTTTGTGGCCATGCACAGGTCTAGCTCCTGCATCTTTGGCAAGAAACAAAGGGGAGAAAATGCTCTCCTGGAGGGATGCTCTGACAGGGGAGAGAGTCGGGAAACTAAGAAATTAACGTAGCCCTAGCCGGTTTGACTCAGTGGACAGAGCATCAGTCTGTGGACTGAAGGGTCCCAGGTTCAATTCCAGTCAAGAGCACATATCTGGGTTTCGGACTCGATCCCCAATAGGGGGCGTGCAGGAGGCAGCCGATCAATGATTCTCTATCATCATTGATGTTTCTCTCTCTCCCTCTCCATTCCTCTCTGAAATCAATAAAAATATATTTAAAAACAAAATAAAAGAGAAACTAGAGCAGGTCATCGGAAGTGTGTCAGTTGTGGATGTGTAGAGTTGTAGTCTGGTATGGTCTGAAGCCGTCCCCTGGGTGTACTGGCTCTGGGGCCTCCTGGGAGATGCAAAGTCAGCCACTGCCTGCGGCCACCCGGCAGGAGCTACACAGAGATCTGCAGATGGCTGCTATTTGTATTGGGCTTGGAAGTGCCCGGACAAGGCCCAGTTGTGAAGCAAGACAGGCTGGTGCTAGTTCAGGGTCTTGGGCTTCTTATTTTATATATAAATTTTTTTACAGAGAGGAAGGGAGAGGGATAGAGAGCCAGAAACATGGACAAGAGGGAAATATTAATCAGCTGCCTCCCGCACCCCCTCCCCCACTGGGGATATGCCTGCAACCAAGGCACACGTCCCTGACCGGAATCGAACCTGGGACCCTGGAGTCCGCAGGCCGTTGCTCTTTCCACTGAGCCAAACTGGTTAGGACATTGGGCTTCTTATTGATAGGTTTGGGGCACACTGATATCAGCTACTGTTTGTTTGAGAGATTTTAGAAAAGTGTGGATCCTGAGCTGGGACAGGCCATTCACATGGGAAAGCTGCTCAAACAGCTTGGGTGGGGTGCAAATTGGATGGGATGAGGGCTCAGAAAATCGCCAGGGTGGAGCGAACAATGTGGGCCAGATGGAAACTCAGATATGACGGGACAGGTCCCAACCCAGACACAATGACCTCCTGTCAGCACCCCATCTGGGAGAAAACCACCCCCAAGTTCCTGCCCTGATGCCAGTCAATCCAGTTCCTCTCTGTATGTCTGTGGATCCCTGACAGCCACCACCCAGCACTGGAGCTCAGAGGAAGCTGGACCATGCCTGCGTGTCACTCAGCCACAACCCCTGCTGGTTTTCAGCCCAAAGTTACAGGGACATCTTCCCAGCTCTGGAACCCTGAGGTGTGGGGCAGCCAAGCTATCCCTCCCAGTTCAAGACTGTCCTTTTCAAACATGCAAAACAAAGACTGGGGTGTACACCTACACTAAAATGCAAAAACATGTATGAGCATGATCAAACAAGATCTGGCTTGTTTCACCTCTGGAGAGCTAGGAGGAAAACGGTGGAGGTGTCCACAGAGAGCCTTGTATCTGTAATGCGTCCATTAAAACATATCTTATGTGCCGAAACCGGTTTGGCTCAGCGGTAGAGCATCGGTCTGTGGACTGAAAGGTCCGAGGTTCGATTCCGGTCAAGGGCATGTATCTTGGTTGTGGGCACATCCCCACTAGGGGGTGTGCAGGAGGCAGCTGGTCGATGATTCTCTCATTGATGTTTCTAACTCTCTATCCCTCTCTCTTCCCCTCTGTAAAAGATCAATAAAAAAAATATTTAAAAATAAATGAAAATAAATGAGGTTATAGGGTGGGGCCCTCATCCCACAGGACCAGTTTCACACTGCGACGATGAGGAGGCAGCTCTCTGAAATCCAAGGAAAGTGGCCTAAGGAGAAACCACACCTGCTGACACCACTGTGCACGCCCAGCCTCTAGAACTGTGAGAAACTAAAAATGTGTGCTTTAAACCACCAATCCGTGGTGGTTTGTATGGCAGCCGTAGCTGCCTAATACAGGCTCCTCCTTCCACAGCCCCAGGAAATGGGGTTACCAAAAGGTGTGTTGTTGTTTTTCCCCTACATTATTATAAAGCCAGAATTAAATATGGAAATAATAATAAAATCAATGGCTCCATTGAGAAAGCCTGGCCACGTCTGACTGTCTCCAATTCCCAGATTTGCTGGGGAGGCTGGGACTATCTGTTAGCGTCCCGTTTGCAGATGGAGAAACCATCCCACGCCATCTGCATGGCTAGCACATCCAAGGCTCATTTCTTGCCCATGCTGCGTGTTCACGGCAGGTAGGGAGGAGTGAGCAGGAGCAGGAGGGCTCTGGGGCGCATGTGTTCACCCGGGAGCCAGCGGACAGAGCCCCCACGGCGCAGGGAAAGGGAGGGGCCCCGGCAAGTCACACAAATCACACCCAGGCTTCCAGCCCGGAGGGAGGGTACACTCCCACTTGCGTTTCATTGGCCAAAGCAGGCCACGTGGTCCGCTCTCGTCCAGAGGGCTGGGCAGGTGCAATCCTACCAGGTTCCCAGAATGCGGAGAACTGAGATGCTTGTTGTTGGGTCCGTGGATGCCGTGAGGGACAGTCCCGATTTCTAACAATTTTTCCCGCGTCCCGTGGCGTTTTAAAAAAGTCCCGATTTGCCGAAACCGGTTTGGCTCAGTGGTAGAGCGTCGGTCTGCGGACTGAAAGGTCCAGGGTTCGATTCCGGTCAAGGGCATGTACCTTGGTTGCGTGCACGTCCCCGGTAGGGGAGTGTGCAAGAGGCAGCTGGTCGATGCTTCTCTCATCGATGTTTCTAACTCTCTATTCCTCTCCCTTTCTGTAAAAAATCAATTTAAAAAAAAAAAAGGTCCCGATTTTTGGAAAGAATCTTTCCAAGTCCCGCAGCATTTTTAAAATGTCCCGGAAAAATCGGGACTTTTTTAAAACGCCCTGGGACGCGGGGAAAATTGTTAGAAATCAGGACTGTCCCGCCAAAAGCTGGACGATCTGGTCACCTTAGTGTATGGGGCACGCTTTATTTTATATATATTGTGTGTATATATATATATATATATATATATATATATATATATACATATTTTTTTTTTAATTGAGTTTTTACAGAGAGGAAGAGAGAGGGATAGAGAGTCAGAAACATCGATGAGAGACATCCATCAGTTACCTCCTGCACGCCCCCTACTGGGGATGTGCCTGCAACCAAGGCACATGCCCTTGACCAGAATCGAACCCGAGAACTTTCAGTCCGCAGACCGACGCTCTATCCACAGAGCCAAACCGGCTTCGGCTGGGGCAGGCTTTATTGCACACACAGCAGCTGCTACACACACAGCAGCCACACGCCGGCCGGCCAGCAGCGCCTTTCACACTGACTCAGACCACAGAGGCTTCTTGCCACATCGTGGCATCAGCGTTGCAGACGATAAAGGTGCGCCTGCGCCTGCGCCTGCGTGCAAACTGCCGTGGCATTGCCTCTGCACGTGTGTATGGCACATGAGCCTTCAACATCCGGCGTCCTCTGTCAGGGTCCCCACATGTGGGAACAGCTCGATCCGACACACCACTGAGATTCACCCCCGAGCCCACACTCTCAACTATCACGCTTTCCTGAGGAACATGCCCGGGCAGGCCTGTCCTCCTCCGAGTGTTCATGCAGTAACTCACTCATTCCCGTGGCCGGTGCTGGGCCAGGGTGCTGGGGGAAGGAGCACAGAGAGCCCAAAGGTGTTTAGAATGAAGCGTTGATAGAATCTGGTCCTGGGTTAGCTTTGGGGGGTGCGGGAGGGGGTGGGGCGTGTCAACCATTTGTCTGCTCACCCACTCAGCATTTACTGACCACCTGCTCCGTGCAGCTGTCCTGGGCTCTGAGGACACAGCTGCCAGCACACAGACCCCTGCCCTCGGAGAGCGGACAAGGAAGTATGGCAGGTGCTGTCCCCGGGGAGCCTGTGCTGGGAGGGAAAAGGAAGCAGGTGCTGGGAAAACTGAGGTGCTAGAGTCAGGGAACCCCCAGATATCTGGTTTTGTCGACAGGATGGCAAGGGTACAGGGATGGGGTTCATACTGCAAAAGGGCCGGGTTTGCAAGAAATTAAGACATACAGCCACCAAAAAAGCTTGTACACAAATGTTCACAGCAGCATCCTATATAATAAAAGGCTAACGTGCAAATCAACCGAACAACTGAACAACTTCTTTTACCGTCTTCTTTTACCACTGGTTGGGGTTGGGATTGGGGCTTACGGTTGCTATGATGTGTGCTGGCCACCAGGGGGCATGTGTGGGACATGGCAGGCGTTGGCTGCAGCAGGATGGTGAAGCAGGTGAGCATGGGCGCCCGACCAAGGCGGGGCACCAGTTGCTGTCATCGGGGTGAGCCTCAGGTGGTTACTGAATATTCTTGGTTCCCGTGCACCGCAGTCCCACCAGGCACTTGCACCCACTGCTGGCACCGGCCCTGTTCACACCTGCTGCAGCTCTGGAGCTGCCACTCACGCCCACTGCCAATGCCGACCCACCCACACCCACAGCTAGCGCCAGTCCCGATCACTCGGTGCCATCAGCGGTGTGAGCGGGTCCAGCGCCATCAGTGCATGGGAACGGCAGCCGTGGGAGTGGGGCTGCTGGCAGACAGGGGACGGGGCCCCTGTGGTGGGAGGGGCTGGGCAGGGACTCAGAGGATGGGCTGAGACCCGCCCCTGTGCCCACCGCAGCCTCTCAGCCCACAGTTCCTTTCAAGGTGCATGAATTCATGTACTGGGCCCCTAGTTACTCATAAAAGCCAACAGGTGGAGATAGTCCAAGTTTCCATCAGTGGATGAAAGTATAAACATAATATGGTGTATCCGGACCAGGAAATATTATTCAGCCATAAAAAAGGAATGAAATGCTACAACAGGGATGAACCCTGAGAACATCACATTCGGTGAAGGAACAGACAAAAAAGGCCACGTGCTGTAGGGTTCCGCTTACATGCGACGTCCAGAACAGGCAAACCTGTAGACAGAAAGCAGGACGAAGGTTCCCAGGAGCTGCGAGCGAGGGGAGGGCAGTGTCCGCTGGTGGGCACAAGGCTTCTTGTGGGAGTGATGGGAAGGTCTTAAAGCTGATTCTGCTGCCCTGGCTGGTGTGGCTCAGCCGGCTGGGCAGCCTCCCTGCACCAAGAGGGGGCTGCAGACTTGATTCCAACGAGGGGGCGTGCAGGAAGCAGCTGGTGGATGCTTCTCTCTCCCTCTCCCTTCCTCTCTCTCTAAAATCAATAAAAACATGTGTTTAAACAAAATAATAATAAAACTGATTGTGGTGATAGTTTCACAGCCCTACTATTGACCTGTGTAGGTGACATGAGTGAATTGTATGGTGGAGGTGAATTCTATTGTAATAAAACTATGCTTGTTTTCGAAATATGACGCACTGCCCGCATTTGCCTGTCATCCTTGTGCAGGGCCCAGGCCAATCTCCTCTGTATGTTCCGATTGTAGAATATGTGCTGCCTACAGCGCACCCACTGGGACTGTGTGTGTGTGTGTGTGTGTGTGTGTGTGTGTGTTTGCAAAAGAAAGAAGGCGGGGTTTGGGACGCCAGCTGGAGTTGAGCTGGAGGTGTTGGCGGGAGAAGGCAGCTGGAGACCTAGGTCCGAGGTGTGGGCGGGATTCGGGACAGTGAACGTGAGTGGGGCTGCAACACCGTCTTCTTTTTTTGGGGTTGGGATTGGGACTTATTGGGTCAGTTGTTTTTTTGTTGCCAGACTTGCAGGCAGCAATGGAAGCCAGGAGGGGGCAGCAGAGGACCGTGCAGACCGCAAACAAGATTGGCTGCATGAGGCCCTCCCTCCAGGCTCCTGTCCCCTTCCACACACTCCCACTGCATCGGCCCCATTCTTTCTTTTTCTTTTTTCATTTTTTTCTTCTTTTTAAATACATATTTTATTTATTTATTTATTTTTACAGAGAGGAAGGGAGAGGGATAGTTAGAAACATCGATGGGAGAGAAACATCGATCAGCTGCCTCCTGCACACCCCCCACTGGGGATGTGCCCGCAACCACGGTACATGCCCTTGACCAGAATCGAACCTGGGACCCCTGAGTCCGCAGGCCGACGCTCTATCCACTGAGCCAAACTGGTCATGGCTTGGCTCCGTTCTTTACCTTTCTAGGTATGCAGAGAGTTCTCCCAGCTGCACAGACCTGACACACAGACACCCTCTCCTTCAGTGTCCCTGGAGCAGATACTGGAACCTGTCATCTGGGTCTCCTTAATTCAGTGTCCTGTGGTCTCTACAGCCCAGCCCCGGGCCAGGCTGTTCCTCCCCAGCCTCTCCCCAGCCTCCTCCATGGTCTCCTGCCCCCTGCCATCCTCCCACCACAAGACCACCACGGCATCTTTCTAAAGCCCAAACTCAACACTGCCCTTCCCTGCTCAGAACCATCCATGGCTCCCCAGTGCCCTAAAAGAGTCCAGGCTTCTCACCACAACCTCCAACTCCCCACAAGGTCTGGCTCCTGGGGGGGTCTCAGTCTCACCTCTCAGCACCCCCTGCCCCTCACCCTCACCCTGTGGTCTTGATCCCCAGTAGGGGGCATGCAGGAGGCGGGTTCACTGAACTGAACTCCTCCAAGCCCTTGCACATTCTGTTCCCACTGCCTGGACACTTAGCATATTGGGCTTTTATATATATAGATCCTTGTGACAGTTTTTGTGAGGGAAGAACTATATTATCCATATTTTACTGATGAGGAAACTGAGTCAGGGTGTAAGTGGACAAACTGGGAATGGCACATCTTTTTTTTTTTTAATAAATATATTTTATTGATTTTTTACAGAGAGGAAGAGAGAGGGATAGAGAGTTAGAAACATCAATGAGAATCATTGATCAGCTGCCTCTTGCACACCCCTTACTGGGGATGTGCCTGCAACCAAAGTACATGCCCTTGACCAGAATCGAACCCAGGACCCTTCAGTCCGAAGGTCTACGCTCTATCCACTGAGCCAAACCGGTTTCGGCTGGACCAACATCTTTCTAACACCTGAGCTTTATCTTTTTCCAGCCTGAAAGGGAGAGGCCACAGCCCACGCTGGGGTCTGTGCGTCCTGCAGAGGGCCCTGCCTTCCACAAGAGGGCGTGGAGGAGAGCGTGAGGCTTAGCCTCAGGGCTGTGGCCCAGGGTGGATTTTGAGGCCTGGGGTTCAGTGTTTGGCCCAGTTAGGAGGAGACCAGTGTCCTAGGCTGGAACTAGGAGCTCAGGGGAGCCCTCGCGCTGCTCACCCACGCTCTGCCCACCAGAGGTCACTGCCTGCCACCGCCACCCCTTCCTCTGAGCTCCGGGCCCCTGCATTCTCAGGGCTGTGGCTCCTGGTTCTGCAGATGAGGAAGTGGCCGTGTGGGGAAGGAAGTGGGCTGGGCCGTGACCAAGGGTGATTATGATTCATGGGGAAAACCCTTCCTCGGAATCCAGCCCCTCTGTGAACAAAGGGCATTGCCCTCCGGAACAGCACTCCTCAGCGGGCGCAGGGGGAGCGGCCATGCCGGGGCCGGTGAGTCTCCAGGGAGGGTTCCACAGGAGCCACTGCGAAGCAAAGACGTCGAAATAGCTAACCCCCTCCAGCCTGCCACTGCCCCCGCCCCGCTCTCCCCCCTCCCCCAGACCTTCAGCACCCTACTGTCTGTGTCCATGGGTTATGCATATACAAGATCTTTGGGGGTCAATGGGGGAAAGAGGGGGACATCTGCAATACTTTCAACAATAAAGAATGACTTTTAGCTGAAACCTGTTTGGCTCAGTGGATAGAGCGTCGGCCTGTGGACTGAAAGGTCCCAGGTTCGATTCCGGTCAAGGGCATGTACCTTGGTTGCGGGCACGTCCCCAGTAGGGGGTGTGCAAGAGGCAGCTGATCGATGTTTCTCTCTCATCGATGTTTCTAACTCTCTCATCCTTTCTGGGAAAAATTAATAAAATATATTTAAAAAATGATTTTTAAAAATATTTAAAAGCCCAAACTCAACACTGCCCTTCCCTGCTCACAATCATCCATGGCTCCTGGGTTAGCTTTGGGGGATGTGGGGGTGGGGGGGCATGTCAATCATTTGTCTGCTCATCCATTCAGCATTTACTGACCAATGATAAGTCAACAAATGGAAAAAAACAATCATAACACATTAAAGTAATCCTATCTAATAAAGAGGGAATATGCAAATTGACCATCACACCGTCACAAATATGGCCACAAGACGGCGGCACCCAGTCCCCTCAGCCCCTATGCTGAGAGTGGACAGCGGGGGGTGGGGGCTTCATTCACATGGTGGCAGTGAAGCCCCCGGTCCCCACAGAAGGCAGAGAACCGTGGGAGTGGGCCTAAGCCGTCAGTAGGACGTCCCCTGACGGCTCCTGCATTGGAAATGGCTCAGGTTGGGCTGAGGGACCTCCCCCCTCCTCTGTGCTCAAATTTCATGCACCAGGACTCTAGTAATAGTAACAATAACAACAATAACAGCCCGCCCTGAGTGACAGCAGTGCCCTGGAGCTGGGTTTCAATAATGGCTGTCCGCGGGGAATTGCCTGCGTGGGACCTGGCCCCCAGGAAGCCGATAAGAGATTGCTTAGGAGACGGAAGTGCCTTTGAACGCGGACTGGGCGTTGGACGGTGCTAAGGAATGGCTCCTGTTCACTGTCTTTTCACTTTCTAGGTGAACCAGTGACACTGTGAGTGTGGTTTTCTACGGAGTCCCTTACATGTCAGGGATACCGGCTCAAGTACCTATGAATAAAGTTAGATAATGGCTGGAAATGGCTTTCAAATAATATGGGAGGGTGGGGGAGAGGAGGGGAGACAAAATGCTCTCTCTCTAACCACCTCCCCCTGCCCCCCACATCCCCCATCACTCAGCTCCAGCCACACCTTCTAGCTGACGTCACTCACCAACATTTAATTATTATTATTTTTAATTTATTTTTAATTTTTTAAAATTATTATTATTATTATTTTACATATGTGTCCTTATTCCTCCATTACCCCCACCCCCCACTCATGCCCACCCCCCTGTTGTCTGTGTCCATTGACTAGGCTCATATGCATGCATGTAAGCTGTCCTGCCTCTGGGCCTTCGCTGTGCCCTCTGCCACCCCCTTCCCTGTGACGGTCCCTCCTCAGAGAGGCCGGCCCTGGCTCCCTGGTCCCTCCTCAGAGAGGCCCGCCCTGGCTCCCTGGTGACAGGAGCAGCCCCGTCCTCCCCCACCCTCCCGCCCTGTTGTTTTTATAGCACTTATCTCCCCCTGACGTGATCACTGTATCAGTTGTTTGATTATTGCCCGGCTCCCACCAATAGGACTTAGCCCGGCAGGCAGGAACGGATGTCGCCTGTATCCTTGACACCACCGGGCAGAGAGTCAACGCTCAATAAATATTTGTTCAATGATTGAATAGCTTGGAAAGCCCCAGGTAAATGAGGCGGGAGGGGTGGGGGGGGCGGGGGCGAGGGGGTTATCCACGCACAGGGAGCCGCCCCTGCCAAGGCCTGAGCTGGCTCCTGCCGCCCGCTGCCCCCTGGGGCACGGGGGTCTGCGTGCTCTGCCCAGGCTGAGGCGTTAAGGGGACAGGGGGTCCCTTCTCCCCAGAAACAGGACCGAGCACAGGTCTGGCCAGGTGGCCCCGGAAGCCACTCCCGGAGTCAGATCCCTGAGTAAATATTGCAGCAGCCTCCGCCTCCGCCTCGCCCTGTGAGATAAGGGGAGGGGGAGGGGGTTCAGAAACCTGCCAGCCAGCCCCTCAGCGCCAAGGTCGCTGCCCAGCGGGAACAGGCCAAGAGTCCTGCCAGGGGACACAGGCCACCACCTTATCTACGCAGCAAACAGGGATTGGGCCCGGGAGGTGGGGCCTCAGCCGGTGGGCGGAATGCGGAGGAAGGAATGAATGAGGTGGCTGGGGGTGGGGGAAGGGAGCTGACCAAACCGCGTCAGGGGGCCTTGTCCCCAGCTGGTCACACGTGGAGAAGATGAGAGATATCCACTCCAACTTCTTCTTTAAAAAAAAAAAAATATTGATTTTTCACAGAGAGGAAGGGAGAGGGATAGAGAGCTAGAAACATCCATGAGAGAGAAACATCAACCAGCTGCCTCCTGCACACCCCTTACCGGGGATGTGCCCGCAACCCATGTACATGCCCTTGACCGGAATCGAACCTGAGACCCTTCAGTCCACAGGCCGACGCTCTGTCCACTGAACCACACCGGTTTCGGCTCTTCTTTTTTTTAATTATTATTATTATTATTTACATATGTGTCCTTATCCCCCATTAACCCCCGCCCCCCTGCTGTCTGTGTCCATTGACTAGGCTCCTATGCATGCATATAATGAAAGACGAGACAGAGGCCGGAGACCAGGAGACCAGGACACGGCTTTATTGGGGGAGAAGGCCCTGCCGGGCTGCCTTCCAAGGAGAAAGAGCACATGTGCTGGAGTGAAGGTGCCTTTTGAGGGGGGATCGGGAAGGGGCGGGGCTTAGGGC